TCAACAGCTGCTTACACACACCTATGCAAAATGCGCTCAAACCAGGTGAGCATTGACTTGGCCCGAACAGCCGGCGACAGTTGCCGAACAGCTGAGCACAAACAATGAATAACTGTGACTCGCATAGGGTAAAACTTGCATGTGGGAGGGCCTCGAATGGGCCATATCGACAGCGCTATACGCTTTGCAAGTGTGCTTTGATAATGACATAAAATACTGAGCTAAATGTGGAAAGGGGAATTTCATAAGTGGAAAAACTTGTTATGCATAGAATTGATTCAATGTACTAATATAATAATATTTTTTGTTTTTCAATTATTTAAAAATCAATTTTATGCATGCATATAGGAAGAGATTAAATATACTACATGTGTTCAAATTTTTTGTTAGTTTACTTTTTAAATCAATTGATAATTGATAAACATTAACATATTTTGCTTATATATATAAATGTTTGTTGACTAATTTCGAATGTTTACAGAATTAATAAGCTCTAATTATAATTTGCTTAAGCTAATTATTTGATAGCACTCAGAAGAAGCGCAGTACTGGGTTCGTTGACAAAGCTGTTTTATTTTTACCGCTGCGAACCGCTGTGAGACGCTTCTCTCTCTCTCTTCACTATCTCGCTCTTTCTGTTTGTCTGTGTGCGCTTGAACTGCCAGCTGGCGCTCATTGAGCGTATCTAATAGTTGGTGCATATGTGTGCGTGATTTTGACTCCGACTCTCTTGTAAATTGTTTGCAAGTGCGCGCATTGACCAAGACATTGATTTAATTGTATTGCGGCTTGTTCCTCTTCTTGTTACTGTGTTGTTGTTGTTTTTTTGTTGTTTTTTTGTTGTTTTTTTGATCGTGCTCGCCTTGCTAATAGATCAGCTGTTCCATATAGCGCAAATGCTCTCCAGCCGAGGGCCGAGCGAGTGAGCGCGTGAGCGCTTCGTGTCGTGTCGTGTCGTGTCTCTGTTTTGTGGAAGCGCTCAAAATAAACAAAACAAAAGGCCGAAGTCAGTTGCCGCTTTTGCCGGAACAACACATAAATGATTTATTTCTTACAAAATAAAAAGAAATGAATGAAACGATACCTCAACTTATGAATATTTATAGCGATAAGGAGGGCAGCCTTCGGTGGGCGTGACATGTTATTAGCACAATTGACTTTTACTATATTTTTTATGGCTATGCGACACAGTGGAAGCGCAAGCGTCAAAGGAAAATTTTGCGGCATATCACTTCCGATTTGTGCTTGGCGCGGGGGCTGGGGCGCAGCCGTTATTCATCGTCAAAAGTTGTGGCTCTTGCGTGACTTAGCAGGTGACAAGTATAGTTAGGTCACACGCACACAGCCCGCTCAAAAGCGCGAGAGAGCGAAAGAGAGGGGTGTACTGTTTAACCAACAGTTGGCTACGTCACGGACGCCTGTACAAAATTTCAAGTATTTCCGTTCAATTTCACAAGAATTGAGATATTACTCATACGCGCCGGTGTCTGCCTTACAGCCGGCTGGCTGCTAGTTAAGCTCGCTCTCACGCTCCCATAGACACACACACACACACCAACACACACACACACACACACTTGTTGTTGTTGTTGTTGGCGTCGTCTTATTTGAGGTTCATTCATGAATTTTTTCGCGCCGTTTCACGGCAAGCCAGCGCTAGAGCGAGATGGACGCATTGAGCGGAACAGAGAAGGCGTCCACCCGTCGCAGATTGTAAGCTAAATTTCACCATGCCTTAACATGATCAATCTAAAAAATATTGAGCAGTTGTTACTCATAGAGACGTCGCTAAGTTATTTTTAAACTATTGTGTCGAGGCGCGGGCGTGAAGTTTCCATTTGGTAATTTCGGTTTTTTTTTTTACCTTTGGGTTCACCAATCGAACGTTATTTGTAGAATTCGCATGGCTCTGTCGCCGGTGGGGTGGGCTGTGGGGGCGCCTCCACAGAGACCTTCGGGGATCTTTTTGGACATTTGATGTGCATATTTGGCATGCATGTGTACTTGGAAATAACGCATTGAGTTCACCGTGTGTGAGCCGCATGTTTTATTGCCTAATATGCCGAATGTCTAATGTGTAAGTTATGTCTGCCATATGACGCTGGGCTGTATGAGTAATATTCGAAGTGTGACAAGCTTGCACGGCGCGAAAGAAGGAAATCAATTATTGGGCTGATTTCATATGAAAGCCATTCGTATTGAAGATATGGTAATCCATATATTATAATTTCTTTCAGATAACTTAGCTATCAATTATACATCAATTTTGATTGTTGTTTTGTTACAGTTGTTGGCGGCTCAACAAATTGTTGAGTTGGACTTTGGTAAGCATTTTCTTGATAAGCTAATTGATTGAAAGATTTGACGAGGAACCCAAAAAGTGATTGATTAAAGCCAAGTTTAATTGAGTGTAAAGGTGAGTGTAGTAAGTATTTTTCAGCCATGGGTAACTAGGGCCTACGTAACGCTGCGGTCTTTGAACTGGTCAGCCGGACAGCTCAGCGCATGACTTGACGCTAAACAATGTCTGACGACACACGAATAGTAACCGCATAATGCTAATTTATTGACCAATCGATTTGAAACAGCGACTAAAAATGCAGCGTTCAGCATCGTTGAGTCTCGACACGGCGAATGCCGAAAAATGAGTCATAAAATAAGTGTATGCATATATTTCACAGCTAATGAAGTCGATTTTTTGTCCCTATCTATCTGAATTTGTATCTTTTTTTATCGTTATCGAATTGTTTAAACGAGCATTTAATTTGATTTTATTGCATTCGTGCGAGATTTATCCATAGGTTTAGTCCATTTGGTGCCACGGGGCGTATACGCAACGCGCTGTTAATTTAATAAGTTTCAATATTTATTTATACAAAAATAACAAGAGTCAGGCACCAGGCACCGGGCAGCAGGCAGCAGGCCCCACAATATTTTTGGGCTCAATGCCTGGAGAGTGTTTTGCATGCAGAGTAGGTAATGATCGGCGGGTGGTTGGGGGGTGTGGGGGTATAAGAGGCACATGGGGATGGTGCCCCATTAATGGCCGGTAATTTGGTGAGCGCAGTGCGTTGGGTTTTCATGTTTGCCGACGCGCGAAATTTAAAAGTTTCACACATAACAAAGTGCAAAGGATGCAGATCGGCAGAGCCAAACTTAATTAGCGCCCATTGCAAAAATATTTACGGCAAAACAAAATAACACCCATTAAGAAAAAAAAAACAAGGGAAGAAAATAAAAAAAGGAGCGCAAACGCGTGATGATCACTGGGTAACGCCCCTGACAAAGCCCAAAAGAGACGCACAGACGGATCGCCGGACGGCGGAGACAGGCAGACCACGTTCAACAATAAGGGGCACCCAAAAACAAAACACATGCAAGCAGCACATATATATATATATATATATATATATATATGAGCATCAAAGGCCCCAACAGGAGCGCGCTGCAGCCTGGCCATGGGAGGTACAAACGCCCCAGCCAGAGCCAGAGCCAGAGCCAGATCCACAGTCAGAGCCAAAGCCACAAACGCAGTCCCGGTCTGCGTTTGAGTCTCGGTCTAAGGCCGGCTCATTGTCCGATCCGGCTGCGGCCGTCATTATAAGCCGTCACCTTGTTGTGTAGACATTGGCCATGGCCACCGCACAGCCACGAGAGCCAGAGCCAGAGCCAGAGTCAGAGCCAGAGCCACAGACAGAGCCGCATCCAGAAACAGAAACGGCAACAGAAACAGAAACAGACGATGCAAACTGCTAATCCGGTTCGGGTTCGGGTTCGGCGGCAATCGCTGAAGTGAAATCAACTCGTTAAATCGTTACCAAAACTGATCCCATTTAGCGGCGCATCGCGGCGCCAGCTAGACAGGCCCGGCGAATGCGCTACACTCGGCACCTGGCCCATGCCCATGCCTGTGCCTGTCTCTGTGCCTGTGCCTCTGACCGTGCCTGTGTCTACCGCTTGTAATCCTTCTGTAGCATATTGCTTCCATGGGAGACTAAAATATATATTAAATATTTGGAATATGAAATTTGTTATTAATTTTTTTTTGTCGGTAGCGCAACCAACGGCTGACCTGGACGCCACACGTTAAGCAGCATGGAGGTTGGCCAAGCCGCGGCGGCTTCGAACTGCGCATCCGCGTCATCGGCATCATCATCACCAACACCAACAGCAACAGCAACACCAACACCTTCATCATTATCAGGGGCGACTGCGACGGCGGCGGCGGCGTCTTCGATTTGGAGCTGCCGCGCCTGAGGGCGCAGCAGTTGGCGCTGCTGCTCTCTCATCGAGCCAGGGACCGCCAATTGCGGTGCTATGCTGGCCGGTCCGAAAAGTAGGTGGGTATGATGATATACTTTGGCTGTTTGGCTTAGCTGTTGAAAGCGACCTTAAGCGGCTTCCGCTGCAGCAGCTTCAGCAGCAGCGGCAGTCGGCAGTCGGCTAAGTCGATGAGTTTCAGAGCCGGCAATATTGTTGCATGGTTATTGTTTCTACCGGCTAGCCAGCGAAGGATATGCCAGTCTTTGTCTTGCCCGGCGACGTCCATGTTATTAACTTATTTTCAACCAATAAAACGGCAATGAAGCGAACGAGCCGAACCGATCGGGGCAAAGCTGGCGAACGGAGGCAGAAAATGCGGTTCCCACAGTTATTATTTTCATAGGCTGAACTATTTGGTGTGGAAGTAATGCGATGACGGCGTCGGTGACGGCGACGGCGACAGCGACGGCGGCGACATGGATGTGGACGATGGCGACTGATGGCGCCTCATTGGCATTGGTGTTGATTGGCCCAAGCAAAGTGTCAAATAACAATGGCAAAGACAGAGACAAGCACATGACTGGGCATGGGCATCGGCATGGGCATGGGAGCAGGGTGAACGTGGTGAACGCAAGGGCAAAGGAAGCGTTGCAAGTGTTGTAAAAATTGTTGATGGCGCCTCGGTTGATGTCACTGATTAATTGCGTGGCCATTAATCTTGGCCAGCAATTGAGCAGATGCACTTGCTGCAGCAGCACCAGCAACAACAACAGCAACAACAACAGCAACAACAACAGCAACAACAACAGCAACAACAACAGCAACAACAACAGCAACAACAACAGCAACCAGCAGCTTTGACATTCATCAGAGAATTCCCAAGCACTTGGGGACCACACAAAGCGGGCGCGGTAATTGCAATAAAACATAAGACATACAACAACAACAAAAAATTCAAAAGACAAAAGAGACATAGCATACCCGAAACCAGATTGATAATTATGTAGAATGATAGTTCCTTTTTTGTCGTTATCCTCAGTCAGAGCCAGAGCCTTTGCCACTGCCCCCTGCCCCTGGCCTTGCCTTGGCCCTCGCCTTAGCCTCATTCCCAGCCAGAGCGAGTCGCGCGTCGTGTGCTCTCTTACGACTTACAGGAGACTCAATCCAATCGCATCGTGTGTTTTTGTTTTGAAGTGTCCAATTTCACAACATTTAATTCAAGATTTGACGGCAACAGGTTCGGATTCTGGAATTGAGCGACAGGTACACCACACGGACACTACAATTCAAGAATTTTTTTTTGATTTTTTCCAGCTGACATACAGATATATATTTACCTTTTCCTGCTGCGTCTTTGCGAGATATGCATTGGTTTTTTTTTTTTTACAAGACCTCCCGCACATGTAAAACATGCCGATTCATAATTCTGCATTTTATTTTTTAAGGAGGCATGGACGAGTGGAGTGTAGTTGATGATGAGCAGCGGCCGCCTCGTCGAACACCTCGCACAAAGGTTGAATGCTTGAATGACAGCGGCAGAGAGTACAAAAAAAAGAAAAAAAAAGAAATAATAAGAAATTACTAAACTGAACTCTGGCTCACGAGATAAACATCGGCGACGAAGCTTCAGCAGCCGAAACGACCACCCGACCTGGCTGGAACTTACAGGCCGCCCCAGTCGCAGTGCCCAGTCGGTCCAGCCAGCTGGAATGACAGATTGGACCACCATTTGCACATGTGACGAGGATGCGCCCGAGCTTGAGGCCTCTCGGGCTCGGCCTCGGGCACGGGCACGGCACACCACACCAGTTGTAGCTAAGCATGATGCGACGATTGTCGTCCCATCCGACGACGGTCGAGACAATAAAACACAAATCGACGAGCAGACAAAAAGCTTTTCGCTCAATGCCCGACATGCCCAAATGCCCAAGACGCACCGCGCAGCGCACAAGCCTCTGCCAAAGATAAATGATAGAGTATGTGCCGCGTGGCAGCAGAGCCACGTTTACCAGCCAAATATTTGCCGAGCTTGCGAAATATACTTGTCGAACTTCAAATACTTGCATTATTTTCATTATACTGTTCGACTCGGCTGGATTTGGCAGCACAAGGTCACGGCATCAAGGCTGCCCACTGGGCTAGAACTGAACCGGTTTGTGTGAGGAATTACAATTATTTCAATTAACATGAACCGATACTGAACCAGAACCGAACTACAGTTACATGCACATCAAATGTGATAAATTAACTAAATGTTAAAAACAAATATCTGTGAGTGACAAGTCTGTAAATCGAGCTTGAAACTGGCTTGACCCAGAAAATCCAATTTGTTAATTAGCGTGAATTGAACCTGAGATCGGATTTGACGTCCTAAACTGAACCAAATTTTGCACACATAATGTGAAAACTTATCCAAATATTAATGTAACAAGGCCTTGTAGACACTGTGGATTCAAAACCAATTAAGTTTCTAAAACATTGTTAGAAGCCGGACGCCTTTATGAAACCAAAGATAGACAAATGTTGCAAAAGGCAACAGCGAATTTACAAGCCGTTTAATAATTTAATAATTCAAGGCTGCAAACTGAGCTTGAACAGAACAGATTTGAGCCAGGAATTCCACTTTCAGAATTTAATTGGCATGAGCCAAACCTGAAACCGGTTTAGTTGGATTAATAGTACCCGAAATCCAATCTGAACCCGATTAAAATTTGTGCATTATATGTGAAAAATTAACTTAATATGATCAACAAATCTATGCAAGCTTAAACTGAACCGGTTCGAATAAGGAATTCGAGTGTGTTTATTTACAAAAACTGAACCTGAACCTGATTTGTTAGGTAAAGAACAGTTGAGCCGAACCAAACTTTGTGCTTCAAAAGTGGAAAATTAATTAAATAAAAATTAAATAAACATAAGTCAGTGTCAAGGCTGTGATCCGAGAATTTCAGTTTGTTAATTAACACGAGTCAAACCTTAAACCGGATTAGTTTAAATGTAGAAAATAAATGAAAATATAATAAATATGTTATATACAGTGAATGCTTTCATAACCGGACACTCACTGTCGCAGTGTTTTTGTCCCCTTATGGGAGATTATTTAAGATGGCGCGTTACAAATTTTATATTTTAAACACATTATGGAATTGTTAACCTAATAGAAAAAATACTATTTAATGTTTATTAATAATCCCTTGGCTGTGATTTAGCAATATTGTACCTCTTAGAATAAAAAAAGACTAAATTCAATTAAATTTTTCCAAGAACAAGAAAATAGCGTTGTGATTTGACGCAATCACAAATTGTTTTTTATTAGATCAAATAATTTCTTCCTGGTGCCGTATTATTTCTCTGAGGCAGACTGCCAACAAAAATACAATTGACACGAGCTGCGCAAAAAACTTCCTTATATAATTATTTGATTATTGATTAATGTTGATTATTATCAGCAATTGTACACATATGCCAAAAAAAAAACCCCCCAATTTAATTGCCATCAACACAAATATGAATCACAATTGGCATAAGGCTAACTACAAATTATATTCAATTCTTTTTTGTGAGTTTTTTACTTCTATCCGCTTATGAGAGCTGTCTTAGACAACATTTTTAAAATGTGGTGTCCGTTATTGTTGTCAGTTATTGGACAGGCTGACTTTGAGGGAAAACATTAGGTAAAGCGTGCCTAGCTAAATTTGTACTGTTATGGGAGCTGTCCGGCTATGGGAGCTGTCCGTAATACAAGCTTTCACTGCATAGGTAAGTGTTAAAGCTATAAATGAAGGAAGGAGTTTCCCTCCTGGAATTCTAGTTCAAACTATTCTATTAACCGAACCTTACGTCAAACCAGTTAACAAAATAAAAGCTGAACCAAAACCCAAACTTGCAGATTTTGGTTAGAGATCAAATTTGATAATAACAATAATTTCCAGTACAGCGGGCAATTGTTAATTATAAATTGAATTGTTCTATTCAAATATTGAAAGTATATGACAAACATAAATCTGTATTTTTGGAAGTGTAAAGCCGGGTTCACAAAAAGAATGAAGAAAAGAAACGTAAGGCACTGACAATTTTTGTTTTGCAGTCCTGGCAAATAAAGTTAAATGAATATACAATAAATGGAACCCGTGTTCCTTGATGTGCAAAAATCAGGTTCACGAACCGAACCTCAAGGCGAGTTATTGGCTTTAACCGTGATCCGAACACGTTTTTTGGGATTGAAGCTTGGAAGGAAATTGAAGCATTTAACAAAATGTGTTCTTCCTAGCAGAAGCTAAAAGATAAATGTTATATAAACTAATCACATGTATAGGTAATGCATAAAAATGTTTTTTTATAGACTGCTCGAATAATAAACTGATAGACTAATATATTGATTGAGCCTCTAGCCTAAAGTGCTAGATAAAATGTCTCCCAAAAATTCGGAAACTATTGCAAAATCGTTTGTATGAAACTTCTTTCTATCTATAATTTCAAAGATCTTTTTCGGTAATTCGCACTTATAGGAGAAAAATGTGATATTATATAGGTAATCCGTCAAATTCAAAAATCAAACAAGCTGTTGTATATGACGTTTCGTTATTTATTCGATCCGTTTCGAAATTCAAAGATCTTTGCACTAGATTCGAACTTGATTCGAATATTTGATTCAATTCACGTGATTCGATATTTGAATTTAACTAATTTTTAGCTGCAACGGAAGCGTCTCAACAAATCTCTTATCCTTGTATCCAGAGTACTTACCATAACTCGTTATACTCTACACTAACCAATGCCACCCCACCCAGCCCCAGTTCAGTCCATCGCATTAAATCGAAAGACAAATGAAGCAGCATCTAAAGCAGAAATACGATAATTGAGTGCTCATTTGTCTTACACGCAGCAGAGACTTGGTTCCAGAGATCGCTACGTGGCGACGCTGGTGGAGGTGGACGTGGATGTGGATGTGGATGTGGAGGTGGAGGGGGAAGTGAGTGAAGGAGATGCGGTCAGTGGCAGGTATAATATATTGTATAGGATCAGACTACATGCGTTTTCATGCCCACATTGACGTAGCCCAGGGCACAAATCTTTATGACAGCGACTCGGATTTGTAAGCTGCCCCCGTGTGCCGCTTCTAGCTCTCTCTCTCTCTCTCTGTGTCTCTCTCTGTCTCTGTCTCTCTCTGTCTCTCTCTCTCTCTCTTTCTCTCTAGCGCTCTTGATGTGAGCCCTGCATTATTGTATCGAATATCCTGGTATTTGGAATGCACTGTGCTCTGTCCTCTATTCGCTTATGCAATGAGCCGAGATTTCAGATGCATTCCGCAGCCAAATGAATACCATGCGCAATTGTTGTTGTTGTCGGTTGTCGGTTGTCGGTTGTTTGGCCGTGCTGCTGCTGCTGCTGGCATAATTATAGATACATCAGCTGTTTGGGCCACTTGCAGTTATAGTTTAGAGCCCCGCCGCAGTCGCAGTTGCAGTGGCAGTTGATTTGATTTTCCTCAATCTCAATTGTTTTGTAATGGCAACCACAGCAGCCGAGCTTGGACAGCTTTGCGAATGCAACAGCAACTGCCATGTCGATAACTACAGCCACTCACACACACACATACATACGCACACACGCACACACACACATGATTGTGTAGAGGGGTAGACAGGACAGATACAAAAGATACAAATTGATAACCAAGACTCGTACGAAGAATCGACAAACTGACTGATTGACTGACTGACTAACTGTCTGACTGATTGACGGACTGACTGGTTGGCTGGCTAGCTGGCTGGCTACGACAACGACGATATCACTTGCCGCTCATTCGATGGCAAATTAATATAATTATCATTGCACGAACCGGAATTACACGACCAACAACAATTGGACAACGACAAACCGACTGCAACTGCAGCTCGGACGGTGACTGCTACTACTACTGCTGCTGCTGCTGCTGCTGCTGCTCCTTCCTCAATGGAATGGCGAACGGCGAATGAAAACAAACAAATAAACAATCAAAGAAACAGCGAACCCATAATTAACGCCACAAACGCAAATATTAAGCCACCGTCGAAGTCGCAGTCGCAGTAGCAGTAGCAGTAGCAGTCGCATTCGTATTCGCAGCCTCAGTCACGTTATCGATAGCCACAATCTGCTGACTTAGCAGCTGCCTGCCCGCCAGTTTGCTTAACTACATACGCGTATCTTTAAGATGCGCATTGCATAAGGTCTGTACACACACACACACACACACACACACACACACACACACATACACACACACACACACACACACGAGCACACGCAAACTTAGAAGTGTGCGCAGTAACCAGCATTGTAGCAAGTGGCGCTAGTTGCCAACTAACTGACTTAGATGATCGCGAGATACGAGCTACCGCGTAGTTTTTTATAGTCAAAGTTGAACCTGCCTATCTAATCCTCTTGGAATATTTATAAGTATATATGCATCTATGCATCTTATCTTCGACATTTCAAAAATGTTTCTTTCTTAAATTAGAAATTGGTGCTCCCGAAACGACATTACACAACAATAAGAGTACATATAAATGTAAGTGTAGCAACTGAAAATATATACACATTTAACAGAAAAAAAAGAAGTTTCTCTTCATGCATAGATCGCGTTCCTTTCTGACATTCATGTTCAGGGGCCAAACCAGAAAAGAATTCTGCTCACGCTTCGAACCAGTGACTCGGAAACCCGCCTATCCACATCATATACTATACGCCAATAAGGTTTATTTAGATTTTTAATACACACTGAATTTGGCATTAAGTTTTCTTAAACATTACTTTCCTTTAGCATGGCCTGACTATAATTATACAAATTGTTAAAAATCCATTTCGTGATGAGGGGCTTGAAATCTGTCTAAAAATATGGGATTTATCAAACGAGATCATATGCTCTGACGAAGTCTTACAGATAATCCCTTAAATATCTTATATGTTTGCATTGAAAGAATCTTTTGTGCTTTCAAAAATTAGATTTTGTAATATAATAAATCTGAGTTACTGTGCTTGAATTCTTAGAAAGTGGCTGAAGCTTATTTAAATAAAATTATTCTTAATCTTATTATTATTATTATAACTTTTATTATTACTTATTTCCAATTATAAATATAGGATATAGTTACAAGCCATCAATCCAACTATATTTAAAGATCATAGGCTCCTATGGCCTTCGGCTTAGACAATACATTATGCATACACTAGCTTGACATCCGAGCCCGGATCCGGACCCTTCAGTGAATTGCACTCCTTATCGAACTGTGGTGTTTTATCAATCCTGAGCTAAATCCTGAGAAGCTTTGTGAATATTATTAATTGAGCTGTGTGGCCAGTCTGACAGTTTGACTTGGCTACACGATATCTTGGTCTAAGCCGCAGCCGGATCAGTTGGTACAACTGCTCGATGGACATTGTAGCCAAATGGCATTTGCGAAATGTTTAGCGCTGATTGAGTTGCAATTGCTGTCAGGTTTCGGCTGCGGTTGTGGTTTTACTTTTTGACAAGTCGCTTGTTAACAACTGCAATTAAATATAATTAGCGCACCTCCAACTGTGGAACAGTTTAATTAGAGTGCTGCCTAGAGTCGAGAGGCTGACATTTGATTGCTAGAAATATTAATGTTGCCACAGCGGCAGCAGCAGCAGCAGCAGCAGCAGAAGCGGGAGCAGCAGCAGAAAAGGAGACAAGTTAACGTAGCAACAACTGCAACTGCAGCTTCTTACTGTAGAAATCGTGACTTTGGCTCGCCGATCCGATAAAACTGGCAAAAAGCGCAAAGCACATAAGAGAAAAATTTACCCACCAGCAGGATATTTAAGATTGGCCCAAAAGACCACAAATGTGCGGACGCAAAGGCGAAGGCGCAGGCGACGACGACGGCGACGGCAACGGCAACGGCATCGACGGACTCAGATGCAGACCCAACGATGGCGACTCTCGCGACGCTGGTGACGATGATGATGAGGCACAAAACGTTCGCTGGGACAGTCAGGCTGGCAGGCTGGCAGGCTTGCAGTTGATTAAGCGACCGCTTCGGCGGCGGCCCAGCAAACAGATTTGCATATTTCATTGAGCAGTTCAATCAAATGGAGGACACCAAAGCCGGGCCTGAAACAAAACGTGGACACAGTCGCGCCAAAAGTATATTTTTTTCTTCTTCTCTTTGCATGGCATGGCGAGATGCAAGCGCTGCGATTAAGTCCGAAATAACTCATTCATACGCAGCCGTGAAGCTTGGCAGGATATGGCACCGTCACCACAGTCACCATCAACCGTCCATTGGCAACATAAAATCGCCTCCCTCCTCTCCGGCTCTTGGCTCTCGTTCTGTCTCTCTTTCTCTGTCTATCTCTCTGTCTATCTTTCTGTCTCTCTCTCTCTCGCTCTCACTCTTTGTGTGTGCCTAATCTGTGGAATGTCATCACTGCTAGCAGCACCTCAGAACAATGGCCATGACCAAATGCAAGTGGAGCCACAGTCAGAGACTGCGACTGAGACTCAGTCCAGACCCCAGAGACCAGAGTCGCAATTGACAGTCCAAGATGGCGAGATCAGCAGCCATCGCCAGCCAAGATGGCGATGTGCAGGGCATTTGCATTAAAGCTCGCCCACTCGCCAAAAAAGAGGAGAGAAAAGAAAATAAAAAATAAAAGCGCATAAAAATAATATCCCTACCCATCTCGCTCTGGCGCTTTCTCTCTCTCTAGCCTTTCTCTCTGCCTGTTCAGTGCTCTGGGCAGCCAATGAAGCGCACTTAATGCGGGCGGACACTAAGCCACGTGTGAAATTCAATCGCCGGCTCATCGCGGCTCGGCTCGGCGCAGCTTGTCTCACTCGCACTGTCGTCATCACCACAGGCTCGAATGTCGTCCGCCTGGACACCTCGTTAGGAACTCCGACGACGCTCACGCTGACGCCGACGCCGAGGCCGATGGTAAACCGGTGTGGGGTCCCCTTAGTCCATGCGCGCTCGTTTCGGTCTCGGTTTTCATATTTTGAGGTTCACCGATGTGTTAACAGGCGGCGGCTGTCGCATATTAGGCGGCCCATGACCAGATCTCAGATCACCATAACCAAACCCAGTCCCATACCCCAAGCCCCGAGTCCAGCTATGGCGATGTGCTGACGAATTTCGCAAGCAACGGGCACAGGCTGAAGACACAGCAATAGCAAGTGTCGCGTCAAGCACATAAATTAAATGCACAACAACAATAACATAACTAAAAGAAGAGCATTACAATTATTTTTATTAGGCCGGATACTGATTACCCTTACTTGCTACTATAGACTTATAAATATAAATATAAATATAAATATAAATATAAATATAAATATAAATATAAATATAAATATAAATATAAATATAAATATAAATATAAATATAAATATAAATATAAATATAAATATAAATATCAATATATATATAAATATAAATATAAATATAAATATAAATATAAATATAAATATAAATATAAATATAAATATAAATATAAATATAAATATAAATATAAATATAAATATAAATATAAATATAAATATCAATATATATATAAATATAAATATAAATATAAATATAAATATCAATATATATATAAATATAAATATAAATATAAATATAAATATAAATATAAATATAAATATAAATATAAATATAAATATAAATATAAATATAAATATAAATATAAATATAAATATAAATATAAATATAAATATAAATATAAATATAAATATAAATATAAATATAAATATAAATATAAATATAAATATAAATATAAATATAAATATAAATATAAATATAAATATAAATATAAATATAAATATAAATATAAATATAAATATAAATATAAATATAAATATAAATATAAATATAAATATAAATATAAATATAAATATAAATATAAATATAAATATAAATATAAATATAAATATAAATATAAATATAAATATAAATATAAATATAAATATAAATATAAATATAAATATAAATATAAATATAAATATAAATATAAATATAAATATAAATATAAATATAAATATAAATATAAATATAAATATAAATATAAATATAAATATAAATATAAATATAAATATAAATATAAATATAAATATAAATATAAATATAAATATAAATATAAATATAAATATAAATATAAATATAAATATAAATATAAATATAAATATAAATATAAATATAAATATAAATATAAATATAAATATAAATATAAATATAAATATAAATATAAATATAAATATAAATATAAATATAAATATAAATATAAATATAAATATAAATATAAATATAAATATAAATATAAATATAAATATAAATAAAATATAAATATAAATATAAATATAAATATAAATATAAATATAAATATAAATATAAATATAAATATAAATATAAATATAAATATAAATATAAATATAAATATAAATATAAATATATATATATATTGAATATAATTTTTGTTGTTTTAATTATTCAATTTCTTTGTAATCAACGTGAAAGCGTATTTGTTTAACTACTTAATTCCAGGCTAGTCCTTTCCCCGACTCTTATCGAAGACATGAGCATCAGCTGATTGCAATTATAAGTACGCTGGTTGAGTTGATCATTATTTAAAAGTCATGATACCCACGACTGAGGGCATCCAAAAGAGGAGCAGCCAAAGAACATGAATAAGCAGCCGATCGCAACGAGCACAAGACAAGATAAGCAGATAATTTTCTAGGCAGCAGCAAACGGCGGCCACCACAGGCAGCAGGCAGCAGGCAGCCGGCAGCAGCCAGCAGGCAAAGGGACGTCGCACGGGATGCCTCCAAATTGGACCACAGACGCTGTACCCGGTACCCTTAGCAGCGACATGATGTTTTACTAACCAGCGAACGGAAACCGGCAGCGGGCAGCGGGAAGCGTGCAACGGGCAACGGGCGACAGGCGACAGACAATGGACAGCGGACAACCGATGACTGAAGAGGCTGCTAATAATTTGTGTACGCGACGCCGCCACCGCCACCGCCACCACCGTCGCCGCTGCCGTTGCCGTTGCTGATGCCAATGTGGACGGCAAAACCAATGCCGAATCCAGGCTAAGTTTTGTGGTCCACGCATAGGGGCACACAATGGAGCAGCGCATTGGCATTGGTATTGGCAGCCGTTGCCCATTGTCGTCCTTCGTTTCATGCTAAACGTGTTGTTGCCAAATTGTGAACAAGATTCATTCATGTTTCAACACATTGAGCAACACGAGGCTGGGCCAGAGCCACAGCCAGAGACTCCGACAACCGCTGAGGATGCTTATGCTGTCCGTGGCGGTGTCGTTGTCATGGCCATCAACCGTCACCGTCACCGTCACCGTCACCGTCGCCGTCACCGTCACCGTCACCGCCACCGTCACCGCCACCGTCATCGTCATCGTCATCGTCATCGTCATCATCACCCTCCTCGTCATCCTCCTCTCCGTCAATTGGCGTGTGAACAGACAATAATGTTGCTGCCGACGTCCCTTGGCCCGCTCTGCTCCTCCGGCTTATTTAAATTTGATGTCTGTACAGCGAAATATTTGAACATTTTAAGTTGTGCAGCTGTGGTCTATGTGGCGTATGATTAATTACCTGCATTTCAATCTAGACAATAATTGAGAAATTTGGTTCACTTTGACATGGGACTGCGAATTGCTAGACCAGCGCAGCCGATTCTAGACTCTCTCCCAGCCAGCCGATATAAAGATGCAATTGGACACTTTTGTTCGCGTTTAATTTAACAGTTTTAATTGGAAATTGGCTTGGTTTTGACGGGTTGCCATTATTATGGATTACAAAGCATGGATTACATAGCAAAGCATTCTCGAGACAAACATATGGCAAGACAAGAACTTGAACCTCTTAGGTAAAATTCTCTTTACTTTTACTTTCTATTTCCCTTTTCTTTTTCAAAAGTACACTTAGTATGCAAAACATCAAGAAAAGTTCTCATCAGCAAAATAAATATATAAATAAAATGTTTAAGCAAGTTTTTAATAATCCGATTTCCAGCGAATGGATTGAATTTTGGAATAGCCAACATGAGATCTAACATAGATTGAAAATGAAGCAGCATCCAAGTTTCATATCATAGCCCCAAATGAAAGGTCAGCTAGTTTTCTGTTTGGCTTTTTAAATAACCTCATGGCTCTATCAACTTTAGGAGTGCAAGCGCCTTGTCTCCCTTGAGAAGTTTTAACTAGTTGAGACTTGCAAGCATCAAGCATCGACATACCAATTGTAAATTAGCTTTTATATAAATCACATTTGACGGGAAGTAATTAGAAATTTAGAATTAAATTACAAAGAATTATGTACCTAATTATTTTAATTTAAAATCAAAAGTAACAAGTTAAGCAGCTTTAAGTAAATTGTTTCTTTTTATTATATTTGGCATCTTTGGTAAATTGGATTTTCGGCAATATTTGTTAAGGCGCCCGCAGAAAGCGTTCTAATCGCTGAGCCCAGAACTAACCGGAAATGCCCGACATTCCAGTCGCATACCAGCCAGATAACAATAAGATCAACAATAAAACTAATAATAAAAACAACAAAATGTAAAACACACGTACACACACACGCACACACAAAGTGCGCGCCATGGACATTGCCTGCTTTCATTTATTGTGATTCGGAAGATGTTTCTTATTATGAAATTAGAGTGAACGCCGAACAGCAAGCACATAGAGATTTTGGGACTGAAGGGACAGACGAGTCTACCACGACGACAATGTCG